TATATATATATATAACAGGTAGCATCTGGGAGGGCATCACTGGAGGGCAAGATGGACCAGGCAAGACAAGGGACACACAGAGGGTCCTGGCCCACACAGGCAACCAGGGGGGACTGAGGCCTGGAGGACCACTGATCACTGGGCTCCCCAGAAGAATTAAGCTTGGGAGAGCACCTGAGGTGCTGAATTGTCCCTGACAAAGCAGGGCTGTGGGGAATCTGGGGCAATGACTACATGCACAGTCACCCCAACTGCCACCCAGAGGATCTACTGTGCCTGTGACAGACACAGACAGGGGTGGTAGGACGCTGTGTGTGGCTCCCTATGCAAGGCCATTTTCTAACTCAAAAGATGAACTCAGCTATGGGCACAGCTGGGGGAGAAGCTCTGTTGATTTAAGAAATCGAACAACCGGGCAGTGGTGCATGCTCCCTGCTAAGTCTCACAAGTAAACTAAACTCAAGTTCTCAAGTTGACCCAGCGAACAACACCCTAGAGGTCACGGCACGTCCTTCTCACCCCAGGATGTAGAACTGCTGAGTTACTTAGTTAGGCTTCTGGCCTCTTCATGTTGACACAATGCATCAACCATAACAGCAGGAGAGTGACACAAATGATGACACCTCAGGGGGCACCTCCTACCCACCACCATCTCCTGCCATCTACTCCTCAGAGACCCCAGAGAAAGTCCCACCAGCCTTGGCCCTGGCTCCCCGACCCTTAGGCTGGCTCACAGAGGAACGTGCACCAGAAGCAGCTCCTGGCTGCCTCATCAGCCTCACGGGAAAGTGTACAGCAGTGTCTGCATCCCACCCCACTGCAGGGGACTCATCTAAGTGAGGACTGTGCTTACAAAGGAGGGGATTTAAGTGTCAAATGCACAGTTCAGCTGGAAAGAACCCAGGATCAGAGTGGGGAGGGACTGATGTGAGACCCAGTGCACCAGCGCCCAAAAGCCAGTGGCCACAGTCAGCCCTGGCCCACAGGTGAATACCGCTGCATGAGTGGTACTTTTTTTTGTGGGTGGCTCAGTCCACCCTGAGGCCTGGGCTGGTGTGGCATGTGGTGCTGGGAATCGAACCTCAGTCCCTGTTCTTGCTTAAACTTGCCTAAGCAGGCACTCTAGACCACTGAGCTACCTTGCCAACCCCAAGAGCAGGATTTTTAAAACAGCTGTACCAACATGTACAGATTAAGACTTTTTCACAACAGACCAGACTTCTCTCAGTACACTGGAAAGCTGGCCCACTGAGTTTGATGCTCCGTGGCAGCAAACCTCCTGACTCATGGCCTCCTGGGAGGGTCCCACCACATCACTAGTGCGGATAGCTCCACAGTGTTTCTTCATAGAGAAGAAATAGGCTCAGTTTCTATATAAACATGAAAACAGCAAAGGCACTTCAGTTTTCTTATACTCACTCTATTCCACTGGTGGACGTGGTCCCTCCAGGTGTGGTACACACTTGCCGTGGAAGCCCATGCCTGGCTGCCAGGCTCCTGGAGGGGGGTCACCATCCCTCCTCAATACATTGCATGCCCAGAGCCACGTGACACGTCCAGGCCACCATAGGCAGCCCACATTGTTGTGTTATGGATGGATGGGTGACACAGAATGTTAAATAAAAGTATAAAATGTCAGGAGCATCACACGGCTATTGAACGATCCAGTGGGGTTTGGCAATCGAGTAGGCTGACTTTTGTCTGCTGGGCTACTCATAATCCATTAAGCAGTAGTCATTACTTAACCAGATCATCTTAAAAATAGCATTCAAGACTTGTCTAACCTTTTTATACCAGCTCTCAGCCATGGGATTCTAGGATGAACTCAGCCTTTGTTTCGTTTTCACATGCTAATTAGCACCCCAAAACTTGTATTTACTGCGACATTAACTTCTATTCCTTCTCGTGCACTTAAAAACAAAACATTTTAAAGTCTTTTTCATAGTTAAATGACAATGCCATTTTAATTCTAAAGATGCTTGAAATTTGATGTGTGTGTGTGTGTGTGTGTGTGTGTGTGTCTCTCTCTCTCTTTTTGAGGCAGGGTCTCACTAGGCAGTTCAGGCAACCCTTGACCTCACTTTGTAGCCCAGGCTGGTCTTGAACTCACAATGATCCTCCTGCCTCAGGTTCCTGAGTGGTGAGATTACAGGAATGCGCCACAAGCCCAGCTTGAAATTTGATTTAATCCAATAAATTTTCATCTACCCATATATATGAAAAAGTATAATTTCATTACCTGGTTGAAGCTCATTCCTTTTTCCTTCTTTAGAAGATTGAACTAAGCTTGTAGCTAGTGGGGGGAAAAATCCATTAGCAATTGACACACATGGTCCTGTGTTAAAATTTAGTATTTTACAACTGAAACAAATGAGAATTCGAAGGCTCTGTCAGCGGAGCATTCAGGTGAAGTGCAAAGGATTCATTTCTGCAGTTATACCCCACAGATTCTAAACTTCAACCTGATTTCTCAAGAACATTTATTTCCCAGAAAAATCATTGTTATGAAATAATATAATACAACAAAATCCTACACTTTCAACCCCCTAAAAACCATTAAAAGATATATAACAGTAAAAGACTTCAGCTTACCAAGCAAAGTTCTCTCACTGTTGACAGAGCAACTGACAGCTTGCAGGTCTTTCTCAAAGGTATATAAGTACTATTAAGACAAAAATGTTAATTTGGAGTTTTACATCACATAACAGATAACAGTTGTATGTAAACAAGTTGCCACCGAGCTCTGTACCAAGAGTTACTGTGGCAAAATGAATGATGAATGCCTAAGCTCATCATGCTAAGTCATGGGACTTTTTTATTAATTTTATTGAGAAGCAAGTAGCAATGAGACAATTTCAAAACAGGTCAGCAGGACAGTTTCAATAATTAATACATTGCATATTGTCTTCATAGTAGTTATTTATAGTACAAGTTACAGACATGATATCCTGTCCAAACACTATTAGTACAAATCTTTCTTCTCATTGAATTGAGAGAAAGTAGCTGTATATCTATCCTAACTACTTTGTGTATAAATGCTCAAGTGAACAACTTCTGACGTTGCCAGTTCTACAGATAACCCACTACTATTATGGACTACTGGACTATATTGGATTTTTTTTTTTTCCCGGTGGGACCAGGGATTGAACTCAGGCCCTTGCACTTGCCAGGGAAGCACTTATTCCCCCGAGCCAGCTTCCCAGCCCCTGTATTGGATTATTTTGCTGAATTCATGCACCCACAATACTTTAAATAGCAGTGGAATATCCATCTCTGACAAAACTATACAAAAAAAGGAGATAAAAATGAGGGACTTTTATTTCTAAGAAAAGCTGAAACTTAATCATGAGACCACCAAACGTGGTGGCTAAGAGCACAGACCTTGGCGCCAAGCCAGATCCACGTCCAAATCCTGACTCTGCCACCTGCCACTTGTGTGACTGTGGACCGGTTGTTATTCAACCTCTCTGACCCCCCCGCCAAAAAAAAAAGACAGTATCACGCTGCTCTCCCAGGACTGTGAGCTCCTTCCCTCTTTAGCTCCAGATCTGTACCTCTGTGCAGTTAAAGTTTTGCAGGCGTAAAAAGTGGTTTCTAAATACTGATAGATATTTAGTTGGCCTCCCACTTGTAGGGATTACAACAACCCACTCACCTTCCTTTCTGAACTTCATCTTGGTGAACCTGTACAGGTATTTCTGCAAAATCCAACATCAAAGTGGGATTTCTAGTCAAAATGGGCAATTCTCCATGGAATTCTTCCATTGAGAACATCAGAACTACACAGTGTGGGGCTTCAGCACAGGCCTGATCCAGAGCCGGAATCACCTTTCTTTCAGTTTCTGGGGTTTACGACATTCTCACAGCCTCCTCCACACAATGCACCTCTGTTGTGGTTTGTGTGTATTTGTCCCCCAAAAGCCTCACACAGTCACTGAGGCACAGTTCTACAGTTTGTGATTGATTCATGACCCAAGGCTGGGATTATGAGTCTGAGTACTGCTGAGATTATGAGTGTGAGTGCTGCTGGGATTGTGTGTGTGAGTGCTACACCCAGCCTGGAGCAGAGAGCCTGAACACAATTTAAGGAAGACAGACTTGCTCTCTGCAGCCATTGTTGCAACTGCTCCTGCCTTTTGCTCTCTGCTCTTTGCCGCCACCATGATAGGTTGCTCTCTGCCATAGACCACTCTGCCTTGGAACCAGCTGAGTATGGACTGAACTCTCCAGTAACTGTGAGCAAAATAAACCTTTCCTTCCTCCATTTTGTGTGTCTGGTATTTGTCCCGGCAATGTGAGAAGAGTTACTGAGACAACCTCCAAGCTGTAGTCCCCAGAGCCACAGCAGTTCCACACTCGCACTCATAGGTCACCAAACCCAGCGGGAAAGAGTCCTTGCCCTAAGTTTCCACCCAAGCCCATTCTGTACGCATCTTCCACCAGCTTATATCACATTCACTTCTGCGGGGACCCCTAGGGTGGGCCCCCATGAGAGGAAGCGGAGGAGATGAGAGACGGTGAGGAAGAAAGGTTTGGGGCGGCGCCTACTTGGGCCTTAGTTACATGCTGCTCCCGGCCTCCTAGGAGAGAAGATGGAGTATTTAATTAAAACTTACACTGAGACCAAGATAGAAGAGACCCCCTCCCCCTATTCCTCCCACTAACTAGAGCTAAAATCCCTGGATATTACATAAATAAACCTACAAAGATTTTGAAAAGCAGTAATACATAAGGCAGGGGTAGAGGGGTTTGGTCATGGGTCAGTACAGAACACTTGCCCAGCAGGCGAGAGGCAACGGGTTCAATCTCACGCACTGAATGGAGAGGAAAGGCAGACATTCTAGGGATGGTAGGCATGAGGTATGACAGTCGTTTTGCATCATACATCTTAGATTTGAAGGTGAAGAAAAGAACTCAACAGAAATGCTGATAGGAGCACACAGAAACAAACACACCCACACTCCCACTCTAGCCAAGGAAACAGGGAAGAGGAAATCTAGCAAGACAGAAGACTTCTAGACTACACCTACCTTATTTCAGCCAAACACCATGGGGAAAAATGCAACCCTGTTCTAGCCTCCACTAACAAAGACTGAGTAGGAACCTAGACTCCCAATTTGTATGGCTATGACAAAACACCTTTTTCCCCACCTGACCGAGTATTATTTTAAAAAACACAAATGAAATCAGGACTTTCATCCCCAACTGGTAGGAAAGACCCTCCTCCCACCCAAAAGCTCAGCAGAGCTTTGAGGGATCTTGGACTCCCACCCAACATGGCATGAAGGAGGTGACCCTTCCTGACCAGAATGGGGGCCAAGTGCTGAATAAAAACTTTCACTACCACCCAGTGCCCATGAGGCTTCCACCTCCTACCCATCACCCCCACCTGCCGAGGAGAGGCCACCTGGGGGTGGCCTGGAGCCCCTGCGTTGGAGAAGCAAGGCTCTTCTCTCCACAGTCAAAGAAGGCCTTCACCCCAGCCTGACAGAGGCAAGGCTGTGCTCCCCACTGAGCCAGCATGGTCACAGCAGGAGAGCTGAACAGAAGACCCCAGTGAGATCCAGCATGCACACATGGTGCACAAAGTGTCCGGGACACAAGAGAAAACCATGTGTCTCACCAAAATCCGGAAAGAACTGTGACGGGCGCAAACAGCCAGCCACCAGGCTGCTCTGATAAAGCTGTTTAAGCAGCCATCGTGAAAACCCGCCAGTAAGTAATTATAAATAGCTTGGAACAAAAGAAAAAAGGAATCTCAGCAAGGAAATAGAGTAAAGGAAAAAGAAGAAACTTTACAATTGAAAAATACAATACATTTTCTAAAAACCCAGTGGATAGATGCAACAAGATGGTAGGTAAAAGAATCAGTGAATTTGAAAATAAAATAATGAAAATTTTCTAATCTGAATAAGAAAAAAAAATTAACTAGGGGAAGGAAGAAGGAACAAAATGTTAGAGGTGTTTGAAACCTTTACAAAAGAGCTAACGTTCACACAATCAGAATCCTGGAAAAGATATAAAAGATACAACAATCAATGACTGAAAATGTTTCAAATCTGGCAAGAAGACATCTTGGCTTCTGCTCCTGTTGGCGCTGTTGTGACTGTGGCGCATTAGTCATTGTGAGAGCAGGTTTGTCACAGAACAAGTCATCATGGTCTCCCCTCACACTCTCTGTCCGTTTCATCTCCTGCTCTTCATCCAGAAGGCCTTCATCAGAGGCAGGACCCTTGCCCTCGGACTTCCCAGCATCCAGAACTGTAAGAACTAAACCTTTCTTCTCCATAATTAATTAAGTCTCAGATATTCTGTTACAGTGACTGAAAATGGCCTAAGTTAGTGACTACAGCTTAGGAGTAGGAGTCAATTATTTTAAAAAGCTGTTAAAATTTCTCATTACTTTATCCTTTAGCCAATTTATTTTGGGGAATAATCTCCACATTTCAAAATCCAACTTTGTCACTGGAAAATAAATTAAAAAGCAGCCGCTGTAGAGAAAACCTATCCCTATCAACCCATTAAAAACACTTCCTGAATTCCCTCCGCTCATGAGGTAGACAGCTAGAGCAGCAGGGGTAGAACACGCCAGGCCACGGGAAGCTCCTGCCCGTTGAGCACGTGCTGTCTCAGGAGAGCTAGGCCCTCTTCTCAGCCATCTTCTCAGAACTCAGGCCTATTAGATATTAAGCTTAAGACTGCAGGAAAACTTGGGATGTTGTCTTCTCTTTCCTGAGACTGTGTGCTGTGACAGGACTTGTCCTGGCCACCACTGTGAGTCCAGCTCCTCACCGGAATCACTGTTGGATCCGTGAGTAAGGGAGTGGCAGAAGGAGTGAATGAATGAGTGAGAAAGAAAGGGATAGCAGAAGGGGAGAGAGAATCCATCACGGAACATATTAGAAGCCCAAGAGTAAGGTAAGCGGTTGCTAAAGAATATTTAAGTTCAAGGAGGCTAATACTCAATTCTAAATCGTTCTTCTGTGGCACACAATGACTCCCTGCCTATTTTCCCTCAAAATGAAACAGACTTTGTCTGCACCAACTTATACCTTATGTGAGGAGTTTGGGGAAAAAAAACTAAGGGGGCTAATTTCTATAACTGACTATTTTATTCCAAACATCCATGGATTTATAAAAATGAATGAGAAGCAAAAAAAAAAAAAAAAAGTAAAGTTGAGCAGAGGCAGAACTCAGAGCTGGAAGGTATTATGAATGACACAGAGCATACAGATCTTAGGGCGTCATTCGACCCTCTGCTTTTTTAATAGTACACTAGAAATTTGCTTTGAGTCATTTTTACTTAAATCTCAAAGGGCTCAGAATTTGCTAGGGGTTTGCTTCAAACATGTTTGCATTTTTTAAGACAATGGAGCCAACAAATAGTAAAGATGTGGAGGAAGAGAAGGGATGCAAAGAAATAAATTTCTAGAAAATTAAGTTAGGATTTATTTCTAGAAAACAGACACTTTAAAAGGAATCTTCAAACGCAGTAAACAATGAATAATCTATAGCTTACAGTGATTGGTTTTACCTCATTTTGTCTGGTTTGGCAGTCAAATAATCCAAAGACCACATTTCCCTTTCCATCCTACAAAAAAGGAAAAAAAAAAAAAAATGAAAATACCCAAACGTTACTATTTTGGAAGCTTGTCACTAGCTTTAAAGCGAACCTGCAGTAGAACTTCAACCAGTCTTAGCAACAAGTACTTGAAAGGAAGCTCACTGTGGGTGTCCAAAAGGCACAGGGCCTGACTCAGCTGTCATCAGAGCTTACAAAGCCAGAGGGGTCTGCAGCTCAGTGAGTGGTGACCCTGTCCAGTAGGAAGGGGCAAGGCCAGTGAGTCAGTCTTATTGTGACTCTAATTGTATCTTTACAAGAAAATATATCATAGATAATGGGATCAGTCCATAAAATTCTCATATGTAAAACTCTTTAAATCATATATATATATTTTTTTAATGTATCTAGTACAGGGTCTCACTATGCAGCTCAGACTTTAGCGATCCTCTTATCTTCAGTCTTTCCAGAGCTGGGATTACAGGCGTGCCCCACCACACCCGGTCTCCAGGGCT